AGCCGTCGTCGTTCGCCATAATCGAACCCTTGAAGTTTCGCCCAGAACCCACACCGACTCCTCGAATTTTGGACGATTCCGGCTGCCTCAGACCTCCGTTCGCCTCACCGCCACTATATTTAGTTTCCTCGTTGTTGTCCGCTCAAAACCCAACCGGTGGGTCACGTCGTAGTCGTCGTCCACTGTCGTGGGTAAGCTTCGGTGTTAGGATTTGGGCTTTTTTGTAATTTAAAAGAAATAAGGTGTTTTTTATAAATATAATGATATTTTTAATGTTTATTTTTAAAAAGAAAATTTTAAAATTACCAGATTGTGACACGTGTCACTTAACGGAGAAAACTAACGGTCCATCACGGTGTGACCCATTTTGAATGAAACGTTAGGCACCAAACTGGAACGAAAAAAACATTAGACAATAAACTAAAAAAACATACATACGTTAAACACCTTTTGTATATTAAAGCCTTACTTATTTGTAAGTCCAAATTACAACGAATCATCAAACCATTTGATTAGATAACTTTTCTCATCTGGAATTGATAATTATTACTATTATTATTATACCAAATTTACATGAATTAAATTATCTAGTGATTGAACATTTATTATCAAATGGTTAAAAAGACTCAGAACAGATATTATGTAATCGCATTAGCTTAATAAAAAATATAACAAATTTAATTATAGATATTATTATAAATTCTGTTTATGTATAAAATTCATTTAAAAGTTGAATTGTCATGCACAAAACGATTAGTCTTCGTGGTAAAGGAATGATTATCGTTCTTGAGACCCGGATTCGAACATAGAAAAAGTCAGGAGTGTGAGCGTTCAATGTTAAGAGGTTGAGAATTATCTTAGAACATATATTGTCTTGTACTTACCCCAAATTAATAATAATAAAAAAATTGAGTTGTTGTTTGGGCTAATTTGATGTAAGAAAATAAATCATATTACAATTTGAAATACGACAAGTTTGAGGATAAGAGAATCTTTATACATATTAATTGATGTTATAAGCATAACAACTTGAGAAGAAAAAAAACATAAAAAGTATATTAATAAATAAATAGTACAATTTAGAATAAAAAAATCGAATGTAGATAGAATAACAAAATGAAAATTAGTTTAGGCCGATAATTACACCGTTTTTAAGATAAATTTTCAACCACTCTTTAGTGCTTCATATATTTGGTTATTTGTCTCCTATGACAAAAAACGAGATGATCATCGTACAGTAATACAATTATAGAAAGAAAATATATTTTGAGTTGTGTTTAACATAGTAGGTTTACACAATATTTATATAGTTTTTATAGGAAAAAAATTGAAAATAATATATTCTGAAAAGTAAGGTCATTAATGAGTATTCGAATAAATTCGGAAGTAATCAATTCAAACCATTTTCAATCGAATATATTCATGATCTGCAAGACATACCATATTAACATTTGAATTAAAAGAAATCATAATATATCCTTTTAATTCAGAATATTCAAAAAAGATGTGGTACATCTAAGGAAAATATTTAATTTCGAATAAAAACTCTCAGGCCCTAAAAGGGCCCAACCGGTCCAGAAAATCGTGTATCTCACGTCGTGCGAGTATAAATAGAATATGTATTAGTAAATTGATTATTCGAATCTCCACCTTACTCAACACAATTCACATGTACCCTACTTTGAGATCAATATTTCATTCATCACTTAACCATTTTGAGAATATGAGATACCGTTATAAAGATCTCATGAAGTAGAATATGAATCAGTAAATTATTATTTGAATCTCCACTTTTATTCTTAGAATGTGCTTGAAAGTTCCAAATTTATCATGATTTTTCCAACGATTACTGCTGCATAAATTAATCTAGGAGTATAAATAGAAACTAAATTATATAAAATTCGATAACTAATTGGCTTAAGCCATTTTTAAACAGTCAACTAAAATCAAATTAACTAAATTATATCGGCTTTTTTAATCAAACATTTTATCTTTAGAGAAAGGGAAAAGGAAAACAATTAAGTCCTAGAGCCTGGATCCACTCTCTTATAATTTGACACTAAAACCAGAACCATATAATTATAGACAATGGAGCATATTGCTGGTGTGGGTTTTGGGGCAGCGAAAAGTTTGGGTTGGGCTCAAAATCCAACACACCCACTTCCTAGACCAATACTCCTATAACAATTTTTAATTTATTTGATTCAATCTTAAAAAACAACTTTGGGGATGTTGCATAGGAATGATAAAGGGACGGGTACGAATATCCCTTCCTCTGACATTAAATTCACATATTTTCGTATTTATCATATATTCATTATCTACTACAAGTAAACTTTTTAAATCCACATCCATTTAGGCGAGTACATTCTCAAATTTACTCCACACTTACTACTCAATTAGATACTCACACTCATCCCATACCCACTTGTATCACTCATACCCACCTGACAGCAATCTCACAAATTACACAAGCAATAAAATATAAAATAAACACATTCATTAAGAAGCATAATAAAATAAACCAAATATTATTTGAGTTTATACCCTAACATTTGGTTAAATTACAAATCATAACCTATAAAATCTAAGATTTATAGAATAATCCTCTGAAATTATACCTATATTCATAAAGGTCCAAAATTTATATGGTGGGTAATTAATGGGCGGATAGATGTGGGGCGGCGAATGCGGAGCGGATAAGGTCTTAAATCATTCACCTACCCACTACCTACGGTGAATATGACTTTTTACATCTACACAAATCCACTACCTATTAAACTTATATCCACACCGTCTCTATTGGAGCGGGTGCAGTGAAAAATCCACAAAATTATACTTGTCTGCCATCTCTAATGTTGTATCATTTGAAGCTTACATATTACATACATAATTAATTATACTTATTTAATATAAAAATAAATTAATATATTTTCCTTTTTAAATACATATAAGTAAATTAAAATTAATTTTTTGTATATGCGTCTAACCCCAAATAAAATTTATATATAATTACCCTACATCAAAGTTTTATGTACAAAATTTCACATTAGAACAAAATTTATATGTATAAATTAGATATTATTCCCTATATGAATTTTAATATATCTAATTATCTTAAATTTTCAATTTAAATTTCTAGTACTATATCTAAATATTATTATTATTCAAATTCAAATTTAACATCTAAAAAATAGATTCCTCCAAATAGTTGATAGTGAATGCTAATCTTTAAATGTTTCGAGAAATCAAAAGATGTTTCATGGTGATTGTTCATCTTATCTTCTATTAGGTGATTACAATTTTTTATTTTTATTTAAGAAATAAAACATATTTTATCATCAGACATATATTTCTTCAATTAATACTAATAATAAAAAATTAATTAAAAAATAAATATTTAAATTATAATTTTTATTTAGATGTTTAAATTTTTTTGTCAAAGTAATTGTTTAACATTTTATTTCTTTGTCATTTTAATATCAAATTGTTAACATCAATTAAAAAATTCTTTACCTAAATTCATTGAGTAATCGTAATAATAAAAAAGAATGTTGTTCCATAAAAGACACAAAATTTTGTTAAAGTATTTATGTATTCTCAATAAATTAAAAATTATCATTAGATGATATCATAGTATTTACTGTAGGAAACATTAATTAGAAAATAAGTATTTTTTAAATTATTCCAATTGGCAAATAAAGAAAGAAAGAAGAATTGAAGACCTGAGTCATTGATATTTCAAATTTCAAATCCCTTCAACGGTATATCTAGAATCCTCCAATCCCCTTTATTAAAAATTTATAGCCGTTTCTCAGCCACTTCCCTCGAAAATCCTCCATTTTCTCTCTCTCTCTCTCTCTCTCTCTTTATATCATTCTATTACCATTTCCAAGATCACTTGCATTCACTCAATTCGTCAAGATCGTCTTCTTCCCCACCTTCCCTTCTGGTTTCTTCTTGTATTATTTTTCACAAACGAAAAATGAGAGAGTGCATTTCAGTACACATTGGTCAAGCTGGTATCCAAGTTGGTAACGCCTGTTGGGAGCTCTACTGTCTTGAACATGGCATTCAGGTCAGTGTTTTTTTCCAGCATAAATTCAATATTCTAATCTGTTCCTTCATTGGGTACTTCAGTGTTCTTTTTTTTTTTTTTGGTTCTTTGCGTAGCCTGATGGAAAAATGTCCGGTGACAAAACAGTCGGGGGTGGAGATGATGCTTTCAACACATTCTTCAGTGAAACCGGCGCAGGTAAACATGTCCCTCGTGCCGTCTTTTTGGATCTGGAGCCAACCGTTATCGATGAAGTTCGGACCGGGGATTATCGCCAATTGTTCCACCCAGAACAGCTTATCAGTGGCAAAGAAGATGCTGCCAATAACTTTGCCAGAGGCCATTATACAAGTAAGCAAAAATTGAGTTGCAAAGTTGAAAATTCCCCCCCCCCATTGAATTCACTGTGATTGCTCTAAGCTAACTTCTTTCTTCATTGCAGTTGGGAAGGAAATAGTGGATCTTTGCCTTGATAGAATCAGGAAGCTCGCAGATAACTGCACTGGGCTTCAAGGATTTTTGGTGTTCCATGCTGTTGGTAGTGGAACAGGATCTGGGCTTGGCTCTTTGCTTCTCGAGAGGCTTTCTGTGGACTATGGAAAGAAATCATAACTTGGTTTCACTGTTTATCCTTCCCCTCAAGTCTCCACATCTGTTGTAGAGCCTTATAATAGTGTTTTATCCACTCATTCTCTCCTGGAGCACACTGATGTTGCAATTCTCCTTGATAATGAAGCCATCTACGATATTTGCCGAAGATCTCTCGACATCGAGAGGCCTACTTACACTAATCTCAACAGGCTTGTATCTCAGGTAACAAAGTTTGAGTTTATCAAACCATTAAGCGGTGGATTGTTTCGATTGTTTGCATTGATTGTGTTTTGAATTTGTGCAGGTTATTTCTTCCTTGACTGCATATTTGAGATTCGATGGTGCTTTGAATATGGATGTGACTGAGTTCCAGACCAATTTGGTACCCTACCCTAGGATCCATTTCATGCTGTCATCATATGCGCCGGTGATTTCAGCCGAAAAGGCCTACCACGAGCAACTATCGGTGGCTGAAATCACAAACAGTGCATTTGAACCGTCTTCGATGATGGCCAAATGCGATCCACGCCATGGGAAATACATGGCCTGCTGCTTGATGTACAGAGGTGATGTAGTGCCTAAAGATGTGAATGCTGCAGTGGCAACGATCAAGACCAAAAGGACCATCCAGTTTGTCGATTGGTGTCCCACTGGGTTCAAGTGCGGCATCAACTACCAGCCCCCAACTGTGGTGCCCGGTGGGGATTTGGCGAAGTTTCAAAGGGCAGTTTGCATGATTTCCAACTCCACAAGTGTTGCCGAAGTGTTCTCGAGGATTGATCACAAGTTTGATCTGATGTATGCAAAGCGGGCGTTTGTGCATTGGTATGTTGGTGAGGGAATGGAGGAAGGTGAGTTTTCGGAAGCTCGAGAAGACTTGGCTGCTCTTGAGAAAGATTATGAAGAAGTTGGGTTGGAATCTGGTGAAGGGGATGAAGACAAAGGGGACGAGTATTAGGCTAAGGTTAGTGTAGGGGTCTACCAATGGACTTATTGGTCACCAATAAAAATTGGTTCTTTTGTTTGTCATGTCAGTTGTAGTGTCAAAATTCTAAACAAGATTCAATGTATCTTTTCCTTTTATTTTTCCTTAAACTTGAAATTTTTTTCCCAAGTACCGTTTACTGAAAACCAAATCGAGGAAACAAGAAACATGCTTAATCTGGACAATGGCTGGACAAAAGTGATCCTTGAAAGTCCATTGTTGTTAAAAAGCAACTTTTAGATAAATTTATAATTATAGATATAATATTTAAAATAATTTAGACATTTATAATTTTTGATAGCATTTATTACTTAAATTATCAGTTTTAGTGTATAAATTTTTATTTTTTTTTAAATTAATGTTAAATTTTAAACATGTATTAAAATGAAACAAAAATTAAATTTTTAATATGATTTTAAAAAAAATCAAAGTTAAGATGTTGACATTTTCAAAGAATAACCACTAAAATCTATAAATAATGATGAGAGAAAGGGCGAGGATAAAAGGTGGGTTGAAACGATCAAATTTTTAACCTTTGTTGAGATATCACACATCATACCACTTGTAGTTTTATAAATTCTTTAAAAAAAATTGAAATTATTTATAGAAAGAAATTAGAAAAAAATATTACTTACTATAACTACACTAATTTTGTTGAGCTCAATTGTTAAACGATTTTATTATCCAATTAAATGTGTTTTGTACATCATGATCTAAGTGAATTCGGATATCGACGGGGCTCCTTGATGTGAAGGGGTTATTCGTGGCCACGACGGTGAATGGAAGTTGGGGTTATTCTAAACTGTGATTCTTCCCTCATGATAGTCGTTAATTATTCTTTAAAAAATTCTTGCCATAATAAAATTTAGTTAATAAGTAAAGATCATTTTTCGACATCCAAACAGATAAACAACTAAAATGAAATTGAACCTTAATTGATTGAACACCTAAATTATTATTTTTATTTTATTTTCATATTTAAATTTTATTTTTTTAAATTATACCTAACATTTAATTTAAGTTTCATTTTGATATCTCATCGTTAAAAATTTAACTGTAGTATTAACGTAACACCGTAAAATAATGTCATGTTATCATTTAAAAAATTGAAAATGTCACATCAAATGTTCTGTAATCTTTTAACAGTGGGATACCGAATTGAAACCTAAACTAAACATTAGGTATAATTTTAAAAAAATAAAATTTAGATACTAAAACAAAACAAAAATAATAGTTTAAGTATTAATGGTGTAATTTACCCATTTTATTAAGTTAAATAAGAGAACACGTACATCAAAATGGATCAAGATGTTGGTGACTTGGGTTTCTTAGTTACAAAAAGTTTAGGTCAAGGTAATTATCCCATTTCAGACTAGAGTATATTTAAAATCTCATTGGAATTTACATAAGAATTTATAGATGTTGACGACTTTTACGTATTCATGTACAAAAATAATATCAAATGAACAACGTATACCAAGATCACTTATTTATAGCGCCACATTTTATGTTTTCAAAATCAATATCTAAAATAAACATTTATTTACTTCAAAGCATTTTTTTACGTCAACTACTTCTCACTTGGGCGACAGCCTTCTTAGCAACCGCTCTTTAGTTCTTTCTCTTCACTGTTTAAGGGTGGTCACCTTCAAATGAACTTGTTAGATACAAGTCAATGTGCTTTTTCGGATCGAACCCTCACCGCAAAGGATGGAATTGCTAGGCTTTTATGACCCAAATTTTATTTGATTCAATTCAAAACATTTATAGTGCAATTTACTTAATAAGAAAAACAAAATAGTGATATGTGGGGATGGAGGATCAAAGGTACGAGACCATATCCCACCATAGATACCCATCCACCATTAAACCAGACAAGAGGAAGTCTTGTCGATACAAACCTTTTCGCATATATTGAATGCGTAGATAACTTGAAACTATTCAAAGTGATGATCTAAGCTAGAAATTTCAAAGCACCAACAAAAAAGGCACGACCAGGAGAGGGTTGGATGAGGAAAAGAAGGGTCTCGAGGAGAATTGAATTTCATTAACAATAATAACCTTTAACTATCAATTTGTAATTAGGTTTAAATAAATTATTGGATAAAGTACACAAATGGTCCCCGATTCTAGGGCACTACTTTGTTGAGTCTCCTCACTATTAAAAGTTACGAAATGATCCATTGACTATATGGCATTGTTTTGTTGAGTCTCCGACTATTAAACGCTCTAAAATGGTCATCCAACTATTCACATGTTCCAAAGTCTCATTTTTTTGTTAAAAAAACGACGACAATCTGAGTTGGACGTTAACTTATTGGCTGTGATATGATAAAATTTGATCTCAAAATCTCAAACGATTATCATTTTTCGGTCAACAATTTAACGTCAAGCTCTGACATCAACTTTTTAATGAAAAAAGATGAGTTTGGAACATATGAATAGTCGAGTGATGATTTTGTAACTTTTAATAGTTGATGAACTTTACAAAGCAATGTCTTAAAGTCGGAAACCATTTTATAACTTTTAATAGTTGAATGACTCAACAAAATAAACCCTATAGTCAAATACAATGTATACTTTACCCTAAAATAAGCCCTCTTTGTCTTTTTTTATTTATTAAGATAAGGTGATTACAATGTATTATTTGTTATAAATACTCTCAATCATTTGACAATGAACGTTCAATCACCTTGTTGTAGCCGTTGATGCTTGAATCCATGACATCTAGAAATAATAACAATTTTTTTAACCACTAAGGTAAGTTGGTTCATACCCCTCTTTGACTATTTTACCAAGATATTGTATTTGAGTTTATGAATTTTGGAAATATTATACAATTATTTTTATTTCATTTTATTTTTTTAAATAAAAAAAAATCACGCCCAATGAAAAAGTTGAACTACATATCAAGTTTACGGGTTCACGCCCGCTACATGCCTGCATGCTCCAACCCCAACCTGCACACCTCGGTCTCTGCATGCATCCATGTCACGCCTGGGAGTGTTAACGTATTTTCACTGATTAATTTTTTTAAGTCGAAAAAATGAAATGAACAGTGAATACTATAACAAATGTAATAAACCGAAAAATAAAACCGAATGTTCAATATTCTGAAAAAAAATTATAACTATAATATCAACATAATTTGGGGTTCTATTAAAAATTTTATCAACATTTTCCGCAAAAATGAATTAGAAGTATCAAAACTATTAAAAAGATGAAAACAAATTTCTTGGAAATTTCTTTGTTTTACAATCAATGTTTACGATTTACTGGAAATTTCCGGCGTTGTTACAAAAAAAAAATCATTCAAACAATCAATAAGCACTTATTTACCAAATTTTAACGATCTAACACTCATTTGTTGATATTGACAGAAGGTCCGGATCACCATCCGCACCTTTTCTGGGTTTTTATCCGAGTTGACGCCACGTGGGCAAAGCACGGATCATCATCCACGCCTTTGCAGGAAAAACTGAAACGCGATGGACAAATACCCCTAACCGTCCGTTGCTTCCCTTAATTACCACCTACTCCTCCCCCTATAAATATCACCTCATACAACTCTCAAACTGCACAAAAAAACACTCTTCTTCTAACTTTTATCATTCATTCTAACAAGTTTCAAGTGAGTTTTGTTATTGTTTTTAAAATGTAAAATTATTTTTATTATATTATAATCATTAAATAGTGTATTATTTTATTATATTTGATCGTGCTAATTTTTTTTTTATGTTTTGCAGTTTATAACTGGAATGTGGATTGATGTGTTTAGATAAGAATCATATCTCGAGCCATTTTACGGATATGGTAACAAGTTTAAATGTTTTATTTATTTATTTTTTAGTATTACTTTATATTTTAATTTGTATATTATTTATTTAATTAGGAGAATGACCATATATTAGATCCATTTATTCGTAACTCTAAGTTAGAGATACCGAATCGTTTCTGGTTGTATTTAGTCGAGGTTCGATTCAGTTACATAGCTAGATATGAAGGGCATTGTAACCTTGAATCTAACCTTATTTCTGCACTGATCGAGAGGTAGACACCAGAGACACACACATTCCATCTACCGTGTGGGAGTGCACTATTATGCTGGAGGATGTTTCCTTATATTTGGGCCTTCCGGTAGATGGGGATGTCATTTCTAGTGTGGCAGATGGTGATTTACATTCCTTGTGCGAGAAGTATCTTGGATGTATCTCACTAAATTTCAACGGTGATCGAATACCGTTATCATGGTTGGCTACAAATTTTTTACAGTTGAGCGATGATTGTTCCGAGGAAGAGGGTATAATATTTGCTCAGGCTTGCATATTTTAACTCATAGGAGGGATCTTGATGCCCGATAAATATCACAACCAAGTTCATTGTATGTGGTTGCGTCACATCGTCAATTTTTGAGTTGTCAGGTCATTCAGTTGGGTTTCTGCAGTTTTGACATCTTTGTATAGAAAAATGTGTCGAGCAATTGATTATCGAATATATAAATAATTTTTTTGAGTGTATGATGAATATTTCTTACACTGAATAGGTGGTCATCTGTAAGGAAATATCATCGTGAAATACCAAACTAATTAGAAGAAATTCGACTACTCATTGATCGAAAAGTTGGTACACTGGTATGTATTTAAATTTTGTTAGTTAACTTTAGTTATCATTATATAATTAAAGTATTATTTTAAAAAGAATTATATAAATTTGTTGTAGTTTCAATGGAGTCCTTGTGCTACTGAATAAATGAGGCATTGTATCCCACCTAATTTAAGTGACCCACTAGATGTATGGATGATGGTGGTCCCTCTGATATGTTATGCTATTATCGAGAGGCATCCGACTGATCGCGTGCTCCAACAATTTTATTTCATACAATCTATTCCATAAACACCTATGAATCTCGACAATTTGTATAATATCAATAGACGGGGAAAAAAGTTAATTGGTTGATGAAACACAGTGATTGG